CTGTGTTAACTGTGAGACCCTCTCAGTCAGTGTGTTGGTAACACTCTCAGTCAGTCTGTGTGTAGTACCTGTGAGACCCTCTCAGTCAGTCTGTGTGTTGGTAAGTCTCTGTGTAGACTGTGAGACCCTCTCAGTCAGTCTGTGTGTTGGTAACTGTGAGACCCTCTCAGTCAGTCTGTGTGTTGGTAAGTCAGTCTGTGAGACCCTCTCAGACAGTCTGTGTGTTGGTAACTGTGAGACCCTCTCAGTCAGTCTGTGTGTTGGTAACTGTGAGACCTCTCAGTCAGTCTGTGTGTTGTAACTGTGAGACCCTCTCAGTCAGTCTGTGTGTTAATAACTGGGACCCTCTAAGTCAGTCTGTGTGTTAGTAACTGTGAGACCTCTCAGACAGTCTGTGTGTTGGTAACTGTGAGACTCTCAGTCAGTCTGTGTGTTGGTAACTGTGAGACCCTCTCAGACAGTCTGTGTGTTGGTAACTGTGAGACCCTCTCAGACAGTCTGTGTGTTGGTAACTGCGAGACACTCTCAGTCAGTCTGTGTGTAAGTACCTGTGAGACCCTCTCAGTCAGTCTGTGTGTTAATAACTATGGGACCCTCTAAGTCAGTCTGTGTGTTAGTAACTGTGAGACCCTCTCAGTCAGTCTGTGTGTTAATAACTATGGGACCCTCTAAGTCAGTCTGTGTGTTAGTAACTGTGAGACACTCTCAGTCAGTCTGTGTGTTAGTAACTGTGAGACCCTCTCAGTCAGTCTGTGTGTTGGTAACTGTGAGACCCTCTCAGTCAGTCTGTGTGTTAGTAACTGTGAGACCCTCTCAGTGTTGTTACTTTGTTTATATGTGCAGATCTTTATGGATATTTGCATTTTTGTCTCTGTATGTTTGTTAATGCTTGCATTTATATACTTGCAAGAGCACCCACTAAAGACCATCTAAGTAAGTTTCAGCCTTGTTGTTGGTCGATCTCGGTCCGATACAGACAGATCTGATAGATCTCTGTATCTCACTATCTGTCTTTCTATTTCTAATATTGGAAAGTGCTGCGGAATAAGTTGCCGCTATATAAATGCAAAAAATAATAAATAATAATATGGACTAATAAATTCTCCCAGCCCTGAGCAGCCGCTGCTTCCTCACTCGCAATCGCACCCAATGTACTCTAAGAATACCCAATCTGTTCATAAAAGAAATTCTGAATATGTGTAGGAAGGTATGACACACACACACACACACACATATATATATATATATATATATATATATATATAACACACATGTGGTTTATAGAGTGACGTAAACCCTCCCATGATTTACCAATATACACGTATAGTACATGGTGTTGATTATTTAAATTCCCATGTGTACCCAGACAGAGACACAGTAGATTGCTAGCTCTTGGGGGAATCAATGGTCTCTGCTTGTGACATGCACCTTATTAGGTTAATTAGGTTTGTTCAATACAGAGTGCTAAAATACACAGCAAGAGGTGAATAACTACTTGGTCACTTAACTGCACAGGTGCCTCATTTAGCAATCAGCCGGAACAAGTGTGCGGGCTTTGTAAGGTGCATGGGGCAGAAGACAGAGGGCAGGTATTGCCTAATATAACCCTCTGGGGCACGAACCGCCTAATGTAACCATCTGGGGCAGGAAACAGGAGGCAGGTATAGTCTAATTGAACCCTCTGGGTCAGGAGATAGAGGGCAGGTGTAGGAGATTGGGGGCACTGAAAATCGAATGCACACATAATATGATAGATAGATATTGATATATATGCACGCACGCTCACACACACACATATAAAAATATATATACTGTACAGCACAACAGAATATGCTAGTGCTATGTAGATATAATGATATTAACATTAGACATGTACATGTTATATAATATCATGGGGGGATTTGAAATGTATTTAAATACTCCTTTTCTTGTATGTGAAAACAAATACGAAAACCCAGATCTCATCATTCTTATAACATTTATATGATTTTACTACAACCAGCGTTTTTTGCGTCCTTATCAAATGGCTAAATTACAGTAACCGCACAACCGCCCTTTAAATCGCCGTCCTTTAAATCGGATATGGGAGAGAAAAAGTTCAATATGAATTTTTTATATGAAATTAGCGAAACACGCGACTCGAGTGTAAAATACATTAAATATTAATAACCCCTAAAATGGTGAATGTCACACGAAAACTGATATTTGCCGAATGAGACACCAGCGTTTATTTAATTTTTTTGCTTTAAAAAAAAAATCTATAAAAATGAGAGACTGATAAAAAGATAGATTTTACGCATTTAGTTAAATATTTCTCCAAAATCTGGGAAAATGCACAAAGGAAAAATATTTTTCTATAAATTTTCCCTTTTTTAACAATGCAAAAAAAAATCATCTACAAACCCCAAAATACTGAAGGAAGGAGGGACAGAGGGTGGGGGATTTAGATAGAAAGTTAAAGATGTTTAAAATTGTCCCCAAAATACTAACCTTTTGTTGGAGCTGTTCCAGTAGATTGGATCCAGGCTGAGGGCAGATATAATGCAGAAGTCCCACACTGTAAAAACCATCCTTAGATACAAGGCTGCAGGGCATTCTCTGAGAAACATTGTTGCAGAAACGTTGGCTATTGTTTACACTGAAAATCCTAATAGTTTGGTTAGCAAAGCTAAATGCAAGGCAGTGTCTTTGTTGGTTGCTTGTGGCTAGAGGGAAAGTTTAGGAGAAGAAGTTCTGCCATATATGTAGGGATTGCAGGAGCCAGAACGAATGTGGTTTAGGGTTTTGTGGTCTTTTTAAGGGAATTTGGGTCATTTTGAGCAGTGTTGCTGGTGGGGGAGGGGAGGAGGCATGGAGAGGCAGAGTGGGGCTTTTTGTCCTCTTGTCCCTATATCTCCCTCAGTGTGCTGTGTATAGTGCAGGCTCTGCTCTGGGTATAAGGAATAAATCTCTCCCAGGCTGGAGGAGGAGTGAGAGGGGCTGGCTGGGGGGAGAGAGGGGGGAGATGGGGGGAGGGAGGAGGTAAGATGCTCTGTGCTGTGCAGGGTGTGTGTGTGTGTGCACATCTAGCCATGAATATGCACACTTAGTGAGTGTCTCTCTTCATACTAAGCATGGCCACAGGTAAACACACACACTGCAAAGGATTGCAGCACACACACACACAATGCCACAACAGATTAGCACACACACACACAATGCCACATCAGATTAGCACACACACACACACACAATGCCACATCAGATTTGCAGACCCCCAGGGTCACCCAGGCACCCTGCTCCTTTCACTATCCTACATCCCCCCATTATTAGGAGAAGGGGATGGGGAGATGTGTGCTGTATTGTGTATCTAATGTGCAGAGTGCCTGCTTGTGTCTGTGCTATGTGTACAGGGAATGTGTGTTTATAAGTACATATTAGTACATATCCTGTGAGCTGGAAAGGGGTTACAGAGCAGTCTTTGCAACGTGTGTTTCACACACCTGTGATAAGTGCGTGTGTTTCACTAATGTGTGTGTTTTTACTAATGTGTGACAAGTGTGTGTTTCACTGTGTGAGAAGTGTGTGTGTTTCACTAATGTGTGATAAATGTGTGTTTTACTAGAAGACCAGAACTTCCTATTGACAAACATTATATCTATAAAGCCCTGGGGCCAGCATTTGACTTGTATAGATTCAATAAATTTTCAATGGTGTTTAGACCAGATGATTGGTAATGCAATGGCGGAAGGCACGTAACATCCACCGGAATGCGTTTAGCATTATGGAAACGTAGAATGTGACGGCAGATAAGAACCATTCGGCCCATCTAATCTGCCCAGTTTTCTAAAAACTTTCATTGGTCCCTGGCCTTATCTTATAGTTAGGATAGCCTTACACCTATCACACGCATGCTTAACCTCTACCACTTCAGCCGGAAGGCTATTCCATGCATCCACTACCCTCTCAGTAAAGTAATACTTCCTGATATTATTTTTAAACCTTTGCTCCCTATATTTGGGTTTTCATCATTATTGAATAATTAAACATTTAAGACACCACCCTTTAACCCTAAATGGTTCATCTGGTCATGTAAAATGGCCTGATGTTTATTGAAGATTATGTGACCATCCAAAACTATCATTGGACTCTGTTGACCAGGGCCGGCCCGTCCAAAGACAGCGCAGGAGCCACGGCTACAGGTGGCATTCTGACTGCGGCTGCATTTTGCTGTCCCTGTCATAATCTAAAACAGGATTTCCCAACCCATGGCGGGAGTGCAGCAGCACCGCATGGGTTGGGAACCTGTGTGAGGGTCCAAACATGTGCAATGAGGTGCCGGCTTGTGCGCTGCGGCGCTTTAACAGTACGACCGTGCCCCTTCCTATCCGCATGGAGAGCTGGGAGGAAGTTATAGCATATAGCTGTCACTTCCTTCCAGCTCACACAGAGCCAACCACGCGGGAGGAGGAGGAGGAGGGAGCTGCGAGACTGGGGCCGGATAGGCAGAGCAGGCCTCCAACTCCCACCAGCCACAGCCAGCAGAAGGTACGTACCTGCTGGGTGGCTTAATTTCTTTTAATGTATGTGTGTTTGTGTGTATCTGTTTGTATGTGTGTAATGTGTGTGTATCTGTATGTAGTGTGGGTATCTGTGTTTGTGTGTGTGTAGTGTATGTATCTGTATGTAGTGTGGGTATCTGTGTGTGTGTTTGTATATGAGTGTAGTGTGTGTATCTGTTTGTATACGTGTAATGCGTGTGCATCCGTATGTAGTGTGGGTATCTGTGTGTGTGTTTGTGTATGTAGTGTGGGTATCTGTGTATGTGTTTGTATGTGTGTATCTTTATATGTGTAGTGTGTATCTGTTTGTATGAGTGTAATGTATGTGTATCTGTGTATGTGTAGTGTGTGTATATGTGTGTTTGTATCTGTATGTGTATCTGTGTAATGTGTGTATCTGTATGTAGTGTGGGTATATGTGTGTTTGAATGTGTGGAATGTTTGCAGTGTGTGTATTGTGTGTGTTTGTGTGTATCTGTGAACGTGTAGTGTGTGTCTGTATGTGTGTAGTTTGTGTATACTGTATGTGTGGAATGTGTTTCTGTATGTCTGTGTATCTGCATATGTGGCAGTGTGTAAGTGTCTTTGTATGTGGCAGTGTCTGTGTGTGTCTGTGTATCTGCAGGCATATCAGTGTGTCTGTACATCTGTATGTGTGTCAGTATCTGCATGTGTGTATGTATTTGATAAATATACTGACACACATACAGTTGCACAGACACACTGATACACATGCAGATATACAGACACACAAACACTGCCACATATGCAGATACAATCACTGACCCACATACAGATACAGACACATAGATACAAATACTGATACACATGCATATACACAGACATACATTTACTACATCCCCAGCACGCACACAGACACATACTACATCCCCAGCACAGACACACTACATCCCCAGCATACACAGAGACACACACTTCATCCCCAGCGCATACACAGACACATACTACATCCCCAGCACACACTTAATCCCCAGTATACACACAGACACACACTACATCCCCAGCACACACAGAGACACACACTTCATCCCCAGCATACACACAGACACATACTACATCCCCAGCACACACAGACACACACTTCATCCCCAGTATACACACAGACACACTACATCCCCAGCACACACAGAGACACACACTTCATCCCCAGCACACCCACATAGAGACACTACCATTGTTGTTGGTTTTTTTTTTGGAGGGGGTGGGGGGCAGCATGTCTTTCTTGGATCCAGGCAGCACAATGTCTTGGGTCGGCCCTGCTGTTGACGCTAACAATACGGTGCTCCATAAGATTATGAAATCTACTCCATTTTCAGCTTTGGACAACTGATATCCGAAAGCACTGTATGTTTGGCATTTCTCCAGTCATCAGCCTTTAAGCATGTACTAAATAGGGTTCTAGATCCCAGGACAATATAATCTTACCCCTTCGCTCAGGTATTCTGTCCTTTACACCAGATCATGCTTTTAGCGTTGGCCTTGGATACGACTATTTTCTCAGTGGCAGTCCTGCCATGAATTCCTGCTTTGTGAAACTCTTTGTGTACATTATTTGTTGATAGTGGGTCACGGAGGTGCTTATTCAGTCCTATTTTTGAAGCTGTATTTTTTTGGCATTTAGTAGCTTTCCTGTGATGTGTCCGTGTACCCCTGTTGGCAGGCTTTGACGTCTTCGTATTGTACCTTTATATCGGCGTGTGGCATATGCGGTCATTATTTTTGAGACTGTTTTGCCATTTTTTGTGACCTCTGCACCTGCAATTACAGCATTGAATTTTTGAACTTTTCGAGACTCTGTGTGTAGCTTCATATCGTTCTGAGAACACACACACGTCAATGTGCTCATTGTCACATCTCTTTTATAGTGAACTTATACTGGAAATTCACAGTCAACCTAATATAAATTACCTTTGCGGCTGCCTTCCAATTTATGATTTGGGTATTTCAGAGTAAAACTCCTTTTTCATGTTTGATGACTTCTGAAGACACTGACTAGTTGGCGACATTGGCCTCACCAGACCTTGGGTTTACTCTGAGGAGCCTAGACCTCAGCCATCTTCAGATCCAATTTATTTTACAGTAAATTTCCATTCAGTCTTGTCTCCTGTAAGGGAAACTATCATTAATTAATTCAGTGTGTAAACAACATACTACAGTTTGAGTTTAAACAAATTCCACCACCCTGGCACCTTAGCATTTACTAGAAGTAATGCCCGACCACCTTACTGCAACGAGACTCGTGGGCCAGACACACGACTATAACACCTGCTACATTGTGACCTGCGCGTCACCAATGCTGGTTTGGCAGACCGTCATTCCTTTCCAACGGCTGCTTTTGTCCTACCTTGAGTGGACCTGCGAGTCCACACTGAAGTTTGCTTAATGTTACTTAACAAACGGATCAACTGAATACAAACGATAAACCAGTTTAGGGACAAGAACTGCACGCTGTAAGGGACCTGCGAGTCCACCGCAAATGTGGGCCTGTGCGCCCGAATGGTCGACCTAAAAACGCTATGCACATGTTGTGCTTTGGTTACTGTACCCTAAATGCATATGGAGACCTGCGAGTCTCAATGTGACTCACTTTTGACACTGTAAACCGAAATAAAAACATATTTACAAAAAAAAAAAAAAAAATTCCAGGTTTGCATCAGCGGAATGCTTGGTGGATCTATCATGCTTCAAGGTCAAGTCATCTTCTTAAACATTCTAAGACTTTTGATTTGATATGAACAGATACGGTGTTTCTCTACATCCCAGAATACACCCTGGTTAAGTGTCCCATCATAACTAGAGGAATTAAGACTGTACCAGTGTAAGCCAAACATATCCAACGTCTGTAAGAGATCACCTGGCACCCCGACTGGGTACCTCCGTTGATGGATGCTTCTAGCGCTTCTTGAGGATTCCAAGCACTCTAGCCAACACCACAACCACCGCAGGCTAAACCTCTCTTCCTTCAGAGCGAAGCAGGAACGAGCTCTTGAGTGATTATAACAAGTGCATATGCAGATCATAGCAGAGCAGAGCATAGCATACCCTTGTAGCAGATTCCCCCAATAAGAGACAGGACCCCAAATTGAAGGTGAAGTAGAACTGACTGAAACTTTATTTTACTTGGGACTAGCCCATATGGTCATTACATTAACATTGCTGTGAAAACAATAAAATTACAAACAGTCAAAACATAGCAGGCAACATACAGTGACTTATTATAACATAATTGGATATTTATAAATTAGTGGGGAAGATCATAATTAACACAAAATGTCTCTCCTGCATGCAGAATTAGCGATATGCAAATCTAACCGAATATGCAAATTACCAGTCTTGCTATTCAGGTAGTGCATATTACTGTTGCTACCAACAGAGGGCACTACCCAAGCTCCAAATCCACCTAGTTGGTAGTAAGCAGTATAGGAGAGCAGGCAATACATCCCAGGTGCCATAGTCACATGGCAGGAGGCTGGCAATCAGTCTTCTCCAATGCCCAGTGGCGAGGCTGGTTCCGCCACATTTCTACCCTTTTCCAAACAGACTAACAGGGTATCTGACCTCCTGCTGGTCAGTGCCCTGGTAAGTCCAGCAACCCACCAATGGAGCACAAACAGTTATACAGCCCACCCACAATACATGGTTACTACACCTGGATAAAAGATTAGCTCGTCCATGTCCAGGTGCCTCACCACAGCTGTGTGGGGTACTGATAGGCTACCTTGGTGGGTTGCTGAGTGGGCAGAGACCTGCGGTACTCTGCCCTGGTGCCAGCGCTACCCCGGGAGTAGCCTGGGTGGAGCCATGCTGAAAAGAAGAGTTGGTAGACTCCTCTCTCGGGATCTGGGGCTGCTGCTGGAGGGGGAGACCAACTGTCTCCCCTTTGGTTACATAGTCCTACTGCTGGAGGGGGAGACTGACTGTCTCCCCTTTGGACACACAGCCCTGCTGCTGGAGGGGGAGACCAACTGTCTCCCCTTTGGCTAAACAGCCCTGCTGCTGGGGGACAGGACCAACTGTCCCTACCCCTGGTGGTGCATGTGCACTGTTGTAGAGCTTACTGTCTCCCCTTGGTGGGCTAAGCTGCCGCTGGGGAGAGGGGGTAACAAGCTCCTCTCCCATACATACTTTCAGCCGCTGGGGAGAGGGGGTAACAAGCTCCTCTCCCATACATACTTTCAGCCGCTGGGGAGATGGGATAACAAGCTCCTCTCCCTGACACTCTCTCTGCTGTTGGAGAGGGGGACCGACTGTCTCCCTGCCGGACACACTGCTGCTGGGGAGGAAGGACAGCAATATACTTGTACTCGATCAGCCATGGGTAGAGGTGCCATGCCACCGCAGGGCCCGATAGGAATCATCCAGCCACACCTCAGTCTCAACTAGCGTCTCCAGTTCGCTTATCCATTCCTGTGAGGGCTGGTTTCCCAATAACGGCATCCGCAGCTCTAGTTGTTCTGCTTGGCGCTGGTTAGTGGTCAGGATTTCCTCGCACTGTAAGGGTCGAATTTCGTCGATATCCTTCTTCCAGAGTTCGGTACGAAGTGCCACCCTCCACTCTGTCTCTCTTCCCTCTGGGATAGGATACTCCATACTGCGTATCACATCCTGTAGTCGCTGCTGGAGCCTGGCATCAAAGTGAGGTACTGCACGGCCTTCCATCTCTGAAGTAGTGCTGGTTTTCCCAAGGCTAGGAAGCCATCCCACCGCTGCCACCACTGTAACGGATCATTACATTGACACCCCGACTTCTTAAGGATTCCAAGCACTCTAGCCGACACGACAACAACCGCAGGCCAAACCTCTCTTCCTTCAGAGCAAAGCAGGAACGAGCGCTTAAAAGAGTTTAGGAGTGATTATAGCAAGGGAATATGCAGAGCAGAGCAATCCCTTGTAGCAGATTCCCCCCCAATAAGAGACAGGACTCCAAATTGACGATGAAGAAGAACTGACTAAAACTTTCTTTTACTTGGGACTAGCCCATATGGTCATTACATTAACATTGCTGTGAAAACTCAATAAAATTACAAACAGTCAAATCTTAGCAGGCAACGTACAGTGACTTATTATAACATAATTACATATTTATAAATGGGTGGGTATTTATTTTTGGGTAATTAACACAAAATGTCTCTCCTGCATGCAGAATTAGCGATATGCAAATCTAACCGAATATGCAAATTACCAGTCTGGTTATTCAGGTAGTGCATATTACTGTTGCTACCAACAGAGGGCACTACACAAGCTCCATAGCCAAATCTACCTAGTTGGTAGCAATACTCAGCAGTACAGGAGAGCAGGCAATACATCCCATAGTCACATGGCAGGAGGCTGGCAATCAGTCTTCTCCAATGCCCAGTGGCAAGGCTGGTTCCGCCACAATCACCAACACAAGTCATCAGAAAAGGAGAAAGCTTTGGACTTTATGAACAGTTCCTTTCTTGGCGGAGCATGTACGCCGAAGCGAGTGGTCGCATGAGCCCAGTGAAATCAATGACTGAATTGAACCCCTACACCCCCCCAAAAGACAGGAGGGATCCTGAAGCCACATGGGGCGCAATACTAAAAAAGCCCACCCTGGGGCTGACGATCAGAGACATGTGGAGGCAAGCACGCGGCGCCAGCGGGCCCAGCATGGTGGCTCTTCATGGTTGCTGTTCAGATTTCTCCAATGAGTACTCTGAAGACGCAGACGAAGAGTACTTACCTACTCCTGCCCCAACACAGTTGGCAAAACACAGCAAGACTGGTGCAGACTCTGAGCTGGTAACCACAACTGTCTTAAAAATGTTATTGGAAGACCTGCAAAAGAACATCCTTGCGGATGTCACAGCACTAAGAGGCGACTTACAAGGCCTGAAAGGTCGCATTGGCACGCTGGCGGGATCCTCTCAAGCTAAAACCCAGAACATTGCCACGTTTCAGCAGGCCGTGCATGACCTGCAACTGCAGACCCAGCAGTATGAATGCTGCTTCGCGGCTCAGGAGGGCTCCAGGCAGAGACACAATCTAAAAGTTAGAGGGGTCCCAGAGGCAGACCTCTTTTGGGTCCCCAAACCTGTAAGAGCACCAGCCACGGCCACAAGGGAAGTCATAGTCACCTTCCGCAATGGAAAAGACAAAGCATCAGTCCCCACT